CCAGACGCGCGCCGACGCCGCGGCGGCATCACCGCCACCCATCCCTCCGAGACGCCGTGCATGGCCACGACCCCTTCCGCCGGCGGCACCGCGCATTGGCAGCGGCGGCAGCGCAAACTTAAAGTCTGCGTCAATGGGAGGCTCGGTGGAGCTCTGGCGTTCCATGTCGCCGTCGCCCGACAGCGGCGGCGACAGGTTACTGGTTGCCGTACTATTCGCGCTACCGAAACGTTGGACCAGGCCGCCTCCGCCGCCAAAGGCGGCGGCGTCGGCGTGCTGGGGGCCGCCTCCGACGCCGCCGCCCGTCTGCAAAGTGCTCATATACTCCTGCGGAACGACGACGCCTGATACCTCGAAACTGATCCTGCCCTGCACCGGGCGGTAGCCAGTCCGCTCCGCTTCCGCCAGCACCTCCTTCTCCGCCTCCATCGCATCAACCGCTTCACCACCAACGTAATAACCACCACGGTCGCCGCCGCCGCCGCCAGCGGCGGTGTCAAAGGCCCCGCCGGCATCCGTCACGCCAGGGGGCAGTGTATGCGACTGCGCAATGGGGGCAACATTCCCCAATGCATACGCCGCGGCGAAATCGGCGGCGTCATGGCCTTCGCCGCCGCCGAGGGTGCCGGCGGCGGGTTGTACGGCACTAATGCCCGACGCCAACGACAGTGCCGTCTCCATGTCTGCCGCCCTCGGCAGGTGGAGGGGTCGCAATGGCGGCGACGGCGGCGCTGCGGGAGGCAAGCCGCGGCCTGACTCCGCAAAGGGGTTGGACAAGGGCTGCAGCGAAGGTGGCGGCGGCGATGGCCCCGTCGGGCTCAGCATGGGCAGCAGACGCGGCGTGCTGCTACTACCACCCTGCTGTGGCCTGGCTTGGAGGTCCACATCGTCTGACATCTGGGATGGCTGGGCGGGCTTGAAATGATCCGAAGGCGGCAGCGGCGGCGGCACGGACTGTGGCTGCAGCGAAGCCATGAGGAGTTCCTCAGCAAGCACCCCCGACTTCTCCAGCTGTGCAGGTGCTAAAGGGCTGCGGTGGCCTGCTGCTGGAGCCCCCCCGAGGCCCACCCTTGACGCCTCGCGTGCCGCCTCTTCCGCGGCCAAGGCTCCTCCGCCAACACTGGTAGCCTCCTGCGCGACGTCTTCAACGGTGCTCCAACCGCCCTCCCGCGCCGCCGTCGTACTCGCGGCGCCGCCGACGGCGGGTGACCAGCTGCGTGCCTGCTGCCTTTCAGCGCCGCCGCCGCCGCTACTATCGCCGCTGTCGCCGCCTCCGCCGCCAACTCCCGTGTGTTCATCTCCTCCCTCCCTCAGGTAGCGACTTAGCAGGGCTTCCCTGCCCTCATCGCTGCCGCTGCCGTCGCGCGACGTGACGCCGGCGGCTGGCGGCGGCGGCAGCGGCTGCTGGTGAGCTGCCGCCGCCGCCGGCGGACATCCGGAACCGGCGGCGCCGCCGCCGTGCGACCCGGCGGTAGCAATACCTTGCTGCTGTAGCCTCGATCTGGCAGCGTGGTTACCGCCGGGCGGTGCCGCCAGCGAAATTGCCGGCTCCCCTAGGTTGAGGGTGGATGGTACGGAGACCGACGATCCAGATCCATTATCACGACCGCCGATGGCGGTGGCGGCGCCGCCGCCGATGGCAGTAGCCTCGGCGGAATGTTGATATGCACGAGGATGCATGGGTTGCGGCTGTGGCTGCGACAGGTGTGGGTTCCGGCTTTCCATGGCTTCCATGGGGAAAGCAATTTGTGGTGAAACAGGAGCGTCCGCGGTGGTTGGTCCGTTCGCCGCTGCACCTTCTTGGAACGTTGGGAGAGCATTCCTAGGTTGGATTGTTGTTGCGCTTGGAGGAAGGAGTCCGTCAATGTCATGCGCGGCAGAAAATGGGTGTGCGCCTGTGGAGGGAAAGCAGGATAATATACATTTGTCTCACATATCGATGGCAGCGGGGGATAAGTAGTTGAGGCGCGAGCGCATGTCTTGAAGCCGTCCTTGTTAGCAGCCGGCGGCGCAGCGGGTGGCGCAAGAAGGCCATGTATGCAGTCAGATAAAATACCAATAAATGGAAAGCATAACGAAGACAGAGTGCTTAAATCATAAGGTTCTGGCGTCTGGAGCAACCAAACGGTAAAACAAAAGGCAACAAGCGCGATCAATTGCCATCAAACCACCACGGCTGGCTTCTGTAGCTTATTGACTATACTACGTGGCTATCCTTTTGACACATCACTTGCCTGGATTTGTTGCCGGCGTAGGCTGGTCCGCTGACGCCGCGCGCACCTCCCCTAGGCCCGACGGCCCTGACGCAGGCTCGCCCTCCATTGGACGCGGCAAGCCGTCTTAACTTGTCAGCTTGGTAGTGCTTATATGTATGTATAGCCTGCATTATAGGCAGGACGGCAACGAACAAAAGTTATAGACCCGTGGGTCAACATGGAAGGATCGTGCAGATGATAGCTCCTGAAGCACGCAGAATTCTCGTTTAGCTTCTTCCCAAAGGACTAGACGCTATTAGGGTCTCAGTGGCAACTCCTAGGGTGCCAGGTGGCGGCGCGAAACCTACCTTTGGGACACGTCTGCATTTTGTGAAGCGAAAACCACAATAGCGTTTGTAAGTTAGTCTGTTTACATAACATGTAATGAAGCTGCTCTGGGCAGACGGTTTACTTGCGTTCCAGATCTGTGTGCCCCTTGCAATGATGACGCACGCGGACAGAATCATTAACAAGAGGGTTGTTCCGGAGCCTAATCGCGTAATGCAACGCCTCCTCTCGCCATCACCCTTTCCAAAAGCAATCTTTTTCGCAATCTACACAAACCGAAGAAAAGAGCGCGTTGCAAAAGGATAGCGCAGCTGGCCTTCCAACCGCGCCAATTGCGAATTTCCCAAGCGGCCTTTCGAGCTGCGGCACCTTCCGTTTGCTCCAATCGCTCAGCCATGCTCCTGCTGCCGAGATCCCACCACAGCCAAGGCAATCGGCTAAACTACAAGTCGACAGCAGCAACGATAGCAGGAAAGCCGACGGCTCGGCTTCCTCCTCCGCTAGCGGGTGCTGCATCATCGCAGCCAGCCTCAGCCTCACCCTCAACTTCCCGTTATGCCACCACCTCCACAGCCCCCCTCAGTCGCCTCTTCCGTGACATCGACGTGACTGGACACCACCTGGCCTTGCTGCTGCACAACCATCAGGACCGGCAACGGCAGCAGCAGCAGGGAAAGCAGCAGGGGAAGCAGCTGCAGAGGGAGCGGAAGCAGGGTAGTACTGCGGAATTCGGAGCTGACTCTTCTCCTGATGCTCTTCCTCCTCCTGCTTCCCAGCCAGGCGCAGTGGCCGTCGAGAGCAGCATTAGCGACGGCAACACCGGCAGAAGCAGCGGCGGCAGCAGCGGCTATGAAGATGCTGACGCCGGCGTGGTTGGGTGCAAGGAGGGTGTGAGGGAGGAGATTAAAGCTCAGTCTCTGCGGGACCTGCGAGAGCAGATGCGGGTGCTGTTGCAGCAGCTCTCGGATTTGTGTACGGAGGCAGAGCAGGAATGCGAGAGAATTGCAGCGGCGACTGTTGCTGCTGCTTCTGACAGGGGTGTGAAGGCGGAGGCGGTGACTTGGGGTGCGGTTTCGACGGCGGCAGCTGAAGAGGCGACGACAGAGGATGCGGCATCTAGGGCAGCGGCGGGTCTGGAGAGCCCCCAGCAGGCAAGTCCGAGTGTTGATGGCACGAAGGTGAGGACGATGCGAGGGGTTTAGTAGCAGTGTGATATGTAATACGGGTACCTGGCGGCGTCAGCTAGGGTTGACTCGCATGGAAGCATGAGCTTGTAACTTTGTAACACGTTATGTTGGAGATGCAGTCTGGCCGGTTTAGCACGGCTTGGTGGGTTGCACGTTACCAGTACATTGGTCACTGCGTGATATGCACCTCCCTAACCCCACCGTATCCCCCTGTCTCCAACTACCCGCCTCCCAGGTCACAGCAGTGCCCCGCTTAACCAAGGCTACCCGCATGTCATCCGAGGACCGCATCTCGGCACTCCGAAACCGCGCGCGCGCACTCCGGCGGCTGCGCGCCTGCGTGACGGCTGCATTGTCGCGCCCTGACGACGCCGCTGCCGTACTCTCCCTGCAACGCCAGCTACGCATCTGCGCCTTCGCACCCGCTGCTGCTCCTGCTGGTGGCTCCGCTGCTGACCCCGTTTCTGTGCCTTCCCCTGCTGCCTTCGCAACGCCTGCGGTTGCGTCCTCTGTATTACCTCTTGCCGGAACAGCGGACGCCTCCAGCTGCACCAACAGCAGCAGCAACAGTGGGGCCGGCACTGACGCCGCGGCAACTCCTACTGACCTTGTTGGCGGGTTAGCCAAGGCTGAGCCGGCGGGGAAGGGGGCGGCAGAAGCGCAGGACGCTGTCATCTCGGCTGACGACGACAATGCCGGCGTCACGCATGGTGGCAAGGGCATTACAAAGATCCCGGTAAAGGTGTATAGGGCCCCGCCTCAGGGCGCCGGTGGCAGCTGGGCCTGCAGCAGCGGCAGCGGCAGCTACAGCAGCGGCAGTGCAAATGATGCAAACAACGGCAGCAGTAATTCTGATGGGGACCGGTCCGATGGGGGCAGCTGTCTGGGGCTTTCCGTGCCCCAGTTGTTTCTGGTGGCAATGGCGTCATGCCTGCTGCCGCCGCTGCCGGGGCGTATGGTGCGGATGTGGGCGTACGGCACAATGGCATGGAGGGTGGTGAAGAATGTCGCGACGTGGTCTACTCCTCAGCGTTAAGGAGTTTGTGGGGATGGGTCGCGGGCGACAGGTGCCATCTAGGCTCATGGAGCGACATTAAGTCATGTTATGAAGCAACACCAGGACGTAGCAAGGTGTATATAGGGCTAGCATCAACGTTTCCCGTTTCTAGTCACATTAGGACTGGTGTACGGTATGCATGCCTTGGTTACCTAAAGATGACGGTATGCAGCATACAAGTAAAGCAAGTTGTTGGTTGCATCATTGTTTTAAGCGCAAGTCGGAACATCGTTCACTCCAGCAGCCGTACTGCGGCGCGTCGCACAGGTGTAAGAGGAGCGATCACTTCTGCTTCACGTATCATAGTTAGAGCTATAACAGCTAGTTAATAAACTCCTTTAGTAATTACAACAGTGATCACAATGAGCCAAGTCGTCCATGTCGGATCTGTTGAAGAGTGGAAGGCAGCGATTGCCGAGTCGCGCGGAGGAAAGGCGCTCATTGTGGACTTCACGGCAACGTGGTAAGGCTTCTGGTAGCGTCGATCACGAGGAACGGGTCCGCATAACTATAATGCGTCTTGCCGATGTTGCCGAAGGTGCGGGCCTTGCAAGCTGATGGCCCCTATCTTCGAAAAGCTCAGCATCGACTTTCCCGAAGTGAAGTTCCTGAAGGTGGATGTGGATGAGCTTCAGGTGCGTAGGCCGCGGCAACATAGCAGACGCCGTCATCTGCGTGCGTGCGCTTAGTAGCCATGTTCGGAAAGGGCTGATAGCAACCTCCAACATCCTGGGTGTCGGGTATTTGTAGGCTTATCAAGTTGCCGTTCCATTCTTCCGCTTGAACTCCTGTTCAGCTGCACGCTTGCCATCGGTTACGTTGCGTCACTCCCCTACCGCCAGTCGCTATCCGTGCAGCAGCCCTCTCGCCGATCTTACACCTCTCCCCCACGTATCATATTGCGTCACTCCATGCTTCGTATACCTGTTCCTTACCATGTCCTTTCTAAAACTAATCACCCACCATCGCAGGCCGTAGCAGCCGAGTGCGGCGTGCGCGCCATGCCCACCTTCGTCGGATTCTACAACGGAGAGCAGGTACGCCACAACGCCTTGCTCGCGCCGTCCTTTAAACATGCCGCACCTCGAGTCACTTCGTCAGCAACAACTCAGAATACAAAACAGAAACGAATGAGCTGCCATGTCAAGCTATACATTGACCGCACACAGCTGCTGTGGCTAACCGCCTCCCCCGCTGTTGCCCTTGCACCATCCAACAGGTGGACTCCGTGGTGGGTGCTGACCAGGGCAAGCTGCGGAAGCTTGTGATCACGTAAGTACCGCAACGGACGACATGAGTGTCGGGCGGACACCGCCGCTGCCAGTAGTCCTACGGCTGTATGCCGTTACCGTTGCTGGGAGTTGTTACCCATTCAAGCTAGCCATGGCGGCCTTGGTTCACGTTGCTGCCTTGTTACGGCCCTGGAGGCGGTCTTGTGGCCTCCAAACGGCTGCATCATGCGGCATCTGCCCTGCGCTTCCATGCGGCAAACCGGCATGGACCATTTGCCCTGACCGCCCCGTCCTGCTTGCCACTTTGCAGCCATAACAATCATGCAGCCCCTCTGTCCTTCCCTCTTGAGGCTCCTCCGGGCATCCTTATCCCCCTCTTTCCCCTCTTTCCCCCGTATGTTGCTGCTGCCCACGGGGGCTCTTGCTAATGCTGCTGAATTGTTGCTTGTCATGTGCACTTGCCGACTGTGCCGCAGGCTTGCTACCAAGGGCAAGTAAGGACGCGATCATGTTGCGCCTTGGTCCTCGAGAGCATTGTACCTGCAGCAGTTGTTGCTGAGTTGTGTGGTGGGGTTGTGGGCGTAAGAGCCGGTAGTGTAGTAGTCCTCCTCACCTACGAGTTAGGGAAGGTGGAGTGTAGCAGTGTGGGGTCGTTGGGGATGCGATGGTTGTGGAGATACTTTACAATTGAATGAAGGAGGAGTGCATGGCATTGCATCTGCTGAGGCAACTGCCTCAACATGCAAGAGGGAGGGATTCGCGTGGGAGGTTGTAAACACTGTCGTGCTTCAGCAGAGGTGCTCGGTTCTTGTACGGCGTGTACCGGTACGTCTCGGTTGCCGGTATCTGGAAAGACTTGCAAGTAGATAGAGTCACGCATAGTTGAAGGTTGAAAGGTTTTGTAACTCCTCAGCTCCTTCGTTCTATCAGCCGTAGTGAAGGGCAGCGTCTGAGGCCTGAACTGCAAGGATAAAATCGGACATGTACGGGACCGAACCAACCTAAACGATTCTCATGACGACCCCCATCATGGGCGGTAATGCAAGCAGTGCATGGGGAGCTTGGTGGGCTACCCAAGTAACCCCAGCTGCGTCTTTTTAACGATGAAGGAATCTTTCATCCCTGGCTGTAGGGATCACCATCCCTAAGGCTTCGAATTGGGTCGGTAACGAGGATTCGGTCATTTCCGCACGATTGCAATGCGTCTTGCCGGTGTTGCCGAAGGTGCGGGCCTTGCAAGGTAATCGACCCTACCTTCGACCATTTGAGCGAGGCGTACAGAACTGTGAAGTTCCTGAAGGTGGATTTGGACGAGCTTGAGGTGCGATTGTTGCCGGGGAAGGAGCCATGGAGGTAGCCAGCATTACATGGCAAGATATAGGACGTTGCGCCACTCCATGTTTTGTGTACTCAACCTTATCTTGTTCCATCATGACCCACCTATCGTCGTCCATCATCGCAGGAGGTGCCCGCCGTGTGTGTTAAAATAACTGGCCGCGAGGCGAAACGTACTGTGATTGCCGAAAGATGAAGTGTGCCGCCGTGTGTGTGCGCTCCGTGCCAACCTTCATCGGCTTTGTCGACGGAAAGCCGGCAAGTCAACAAATCCTGCCCCTATGTCCATTAAGCTGCCGTCCCTCGTCAGCATTTACGCATTGCCGGTACAGTTACTAGTAATGTCTTTAGGCTGCTGTACACGCCGTACAATGACTGCACAGGGGATTCCCCAACTGCGACTAACCGCCTCCCCTGCTGCTGTTCTCCATGACGCCCGCTGCAGTTGAGCACGGCTACGGGAGTGGATCCGAGCAAGCTGCGCACGCTTGTGGCCTCGTAAGTACAGACAGCCATGTGGTAAGGATCTGCGCTATTGTCTTTTGGGGATGTATGCTGATGTGGGGTGATAAGAAAATCCTTTCTGCCCTGGAGTGTGTTTGCTGCCTGCCCTTGCTCCGGCTGTGGCCACGGGAAGACAGCTACCTTGGGTCGCGGCTGCAGCTCCGAGGCGGTCTTGTGGCCTCCAAAGGGCTGCATCATGAGGCATCTGCCCTGCAACACTGGCCCAACTATCTATCCTGACTTATTGCAATAACAGCAGGCCATGCCACGGCTGCTGCTGCTGCTGCTGCTGAAGATGAGAATGACACAAGTGCTCCCTTTGCCGACTACCGTGTGCACATGCCGCAGGCTTGCCGGCTAGGATAATGCTGCTCAGTAAGGACGTGGGCACATAAGTGGCTATGTTGCACCTCGTTCCCATGACACTGTACTTACTTTAGCTGCTTCCGAGGCCGTGTGGTGCGGCTATGTACATGGTGACTGGTTAGGTGAAGTTGGCGGGTGCTACCCAGCTGCCTGTGTCAAAGCGAATGGAGTCTTCCCTAAACACCTAGCGTTAGGGAGGGTCGGGTGTTTCAATGCGGGTCGTGAGGAATAGTTGTTTGTGGCAAATCCGTGACGTGTAGGTGGTGGGTTACTGTACGGGGCGTACCGGTACGGCTTAGTTGCCTGAAAAGACTTGCAGGTGGAGTCAGCTGACATTGTACATTGCCAAAGCAGAATAAGCAGTTTGTAACTTCTCATATTCTTGGTTCTACTCGCTCGTGTTGTCAACGCGTGCTACCAGCCGAACCGTCGCGGAATACAGACAGTTTACAGCGGAAAAAAGATCTTGTCCTTAATAGCTGTTAAACATAGCTTGGTTGAAAAACAGTGAGCACAATGAGCCGTGTCGTCCATGTCGGATCTGTGGATGAGTGGCGGGCAGCGCTGACCGAGTGTCGCTCTTTTGGCGGAAAATCGATGATTGTAGACTTTACAGCGTCATGGTAAGGATATAAGACAGCGACGACAGAAAGAGAAGTCCTGCTTGGGTGCAATGTGCCTTGCTGGTGTTGCCGAAGGTGCGGGCCTTGCAAGATGATGGCCCCTATCTTCGAGAAACTGAGCGCGGAGTTTCCCAACGTAAAGTTCTTGAAGGTGGACGTTGATGAGCTTCAGGTGCGCCATGGCTGTAGGTAGCTAGCATGACTCGCGCAAACGACTCAACACGTCGGTAGCAGCTCGCTATCATACCCCTACGGTCTGACGCTATCATGATCAGACGCATTAAAGACGGCATGCTTAGTTACCCGTTCAACTGCCGGTCCCGTCTCCTTTTGCCGGGCCCGATGGTTGGAAACGCTGCAGAAGCACGGTCATGCCACATCTTCCGCCTCCCAATATCTTGCCTCCTCATACTTGCCTTCTCCCATTTTCCCTCATGTTGTGTCACGCTGTTAGCGTCCGTTGTCGCTGTCCTTGTTGACTCACCCTGTCACCTGTCGTACAGGAGGTTGCAACTGAGTGCGGCGTGCGTGCCATGCCCACATTCATCGGATTCTTCAACGGAGACCAGGTACGTTGTCTTTGCCTTGCCGTACATAATGATATGTCGTACCCCCTGAGTCAGCAAGGAACTTTGGAACCCTTCGCGCACCAGAAGCCCTCCACTCCTGGAGCCTCTGGCTTTACCGATGATGATACACAAAGTAAACGGACGCCCTCGGTTGGTCCTGCGGCGCCTTCCCTCCTCCGTTGTCCCCTCCTTTTCTGCAGGTTGAGACGGTGGTGGGAGCTGACCAGGGCAAGCTGCGGACTCTGCTAACCACGTACGTACCGTACGGTACCATACTGTCACCAGCTGCGGTGTTCTTTTTGGTGCAGTGATGTCGGGTCAACAGTCTATGGACCTGCGTGCCGTGGGGTTCAACCCCGGTATCTATGCTTAGGTGCTACCCAGTGCTGATCGCGCTTCCGGCTAAACCGCTAGGAGGCTCACGCCGGCAACAGGCTCTGTTGTGGCTTACGTGGCCCGGACCCTAATAGCGCCTCGTAACCTCCGTCCCCTGCGCTGGCCTCGTTCCTGACATGTCTTCCCTTGTGGGCCCATGCACCCCGTCTAACTGATGACCGCGTGACATCATGGCGCCTGTTGCTACCAGCGCGCTAACCACCCGCCCCCTCCCCTTCATTCTCTCCCCCGGCCCCCGTCTCGCTCCCCCGTGCGTGTGCAACCCCTCGGCAACTACTCTCCGCGCACCGGCTTACTTGTCGACCCTCGCACTTACCTGGTGAAACCCGCAGTCTTGCCAGCAAGGGCGGTGCGGGTGCGGGCCAGAAGCTGGGCGGCGGTGCGGCCAGCAGCGGCCCTGCAGACGACAGCCCGGAAGCTCGGCGGGCGCGCATGCTGGCGGCCATTGACGCGCGCAGCAAGGGCGGGCAGTAGCCGCATACATGTGGGCTGTGAGGCCTCACGAGAGTGGCGGGCAGCAGTGGGCCGTGCATGTGGTAAGGCGGCAATGGGCATTCAATTGGGGCAGGTGCTGATGCGAAGCAAGTGCGGTGCTGGCAGTAGACGTGTGCGGTGGACGCATGAGGGCCCACAAGGGTTGGCAATGGGGCGTATGCAAGTTGTCAGGTGCGAGCTGAAGACACGTGCATGGTGCGATGTGGAAGAGAAGTGAGAGGGAAGTGGGGTGTACAGACGCATGGCAGCAGCCTCTCGGTTTGCTGTTTCATTCAGCGGTGGAGGACGAGATGCCCTTTCCTACCCTGGGAGCTCATGTAAAGCTGTAACTCCTGTACGCTGGAGGGAAGTACATACAAGGATGGAATATGGTGCTCCCTCAGCTTTTGGTTGCGTGACAAGGAAGTCTGGGGCTTTTATTAGAGTCGGGATGCGGCTTTAGGTCGCTGCTGGTTGCAGGAACTGGAGCATTGGGTGCGGTTGGCTGTGGAGGGGCTGTCCGTCGCGTGTGCTGGCGGGAAGATGTACTACATTCCTGGTCACGTAGACATAGAGTACGTGATATGAGTGTGCGTAGTCGGATACAAGTGCGGTGGCTTGTGCGGTGGTGTTCTAAAGGAAGATTGACTGACTTGACGGCAGAAGTTGTCATGTAGCTATGGACATAAGGATGAAGAGAATCATGTTGTGAAACTGCCCTTGCATGACTAACGGGTGCGGGGGTTTTGTGGGCGAGGTAAGAATTGTTCATGCGACTCAACAAAATCCGAAAAATGTACAGCATCCAATCCGCTTGTTGGATTGGATTGGGTAGTGTATAAAGCGAGGAAATCATTGCATGCGATTGATTGGTTCACTCACTCTGCTCTCCTACACACGCACAAAACTGGCCCGCAACACAAACACCAAAAATTACCGAGCGCACAGGTGTATGGATACGGTAGGCCCAACCTCAACACAACACAACCGCGATGAAATACTTTAAATGAGACCCTCTTCTCACAAACTACACAACAACATGACAACCTCTGAATCTTCACATGCCCGGAGGAGGGCTCATACGACACCGTTGGCAGGTACAACAATCGCCGTACGGTCACAATGGGGCCTCAAACGGCCACCGCAACTGGTCACCATAACACGGTGCCGGCCGCATTCATGCCACCGTTCTTTGCCCCGTCATATTACCCTCGTTTGGGATGATGGTACACCTCCTGTTCTCTTCTCCATGTTATAAGCAACGCACACCACTCTTATGGTACTGTGCTTCCGCGCCTGCCGGCTTGGGGACTAATAATAGCCCGCCAAAAACGCGGGAGAATATATGAGTTGCTGCTACAGTCACCAGCTATAGCACTACCACCCTTCTACGTCCTCGCATGCAATGCAAACATCCGCTGCATTGCTGAGAGCACCGCCATATGCAAGAATCAGGAACGCCTGCGGTCACCACCATTACTTGGTATTTGCCGTACATGCATGCCGTGTGCATGACACATTACACTGTTTCGCAACCGTTGCAGCCGCTTACGTTGGGGGAGTCGATCTTCTCCGGCGCGTCGAGCAGGCCGGTCACGTGGTTGTAGATGGGCTTGTCCACGGGCTTGCCCTCCTTGAGCGCCTTGACCTGGTTGTACATCAGATCAAAGTTCTGCGCCTCGGGGGCCAGCGCGGTGACACCCTTGACCTTGCGCCCGTTGCGGTCCAGGCAGTGGTAGTCATCCAGGCAGATGACAGTGGTCATGTCGCTGATGAGGGTGTTGGAGTCGGGGTTGCCGCCTGCGTGCAGCAGAGGTGGACATGCAGGGTGTTAAAGAGGGGAGGGCTGAGGTGTAGGCGGGTGGACATGGGCAGAGCTGGTGTTGGCGCCAGGTACTGATAAAGTTTAGTAGGAAGATGTTGTAATATCTATTTTAGTTATGATGGCCGAAGCGGTTGCATTTTAGTTCGCAAACAGTATGCTTGCAGTGTCATCCATAACTGCCGCCACAAGGTCTGTTCCAGTTTTCCGCTTGAAATGCTCTTCAGCTGCACGCTTGCCATCGGTTACGTTGCGTCACTCCCCTACCGCCAGTCGCTATCCGTGCTAACAGCCCTCTCGCCGATCCTGCACAACTTCTCCACGCATCATGCATGTTGCGCCACTCCATGCTTCGTGTACTTATCCTTTCCATGTTCTCCCTAAAATTTCACCCATCATCGCAGGCGGTAGCAGCTGAGTGCGGTGTGCGCGCCGTGCCCACCTTCCTCGGATTCTACAACGGAGAGCCGGTACGGCACAAAACCTTGATCGCACCGTCCTTTACATATGTCACACCTCGTCAGCAACAATCCAATGCACAACTCAGTACACAAAACAGAAACGCATGAGCTGCCGTTGAGCGCACACAGCTGCGCCTAACCGCCTCCCGCGCTGTTGCCTCTGATGTCCCCAGGCGGGCTCCATTGTGGGAGCTGACCAGGGCAAGCTGCGGACGCTGATAACCACGTAAGTACAGCCATGGGCAACATAATTGTTGGGCGAACACCTACGCAGTAGCCCTAGGGCTGTGCGCTGAAGTAGGTGCTGGTCTTGTTACCCCATGATAAGCATTGCCGCCTTGGATCGCGTTTGCTGCCTGCCCTTGCTGCGGCTGTAGCCACCGGAAGACAGCTGCCCTCGGTCGCGGCTGCCGCTCTGAGTCGGTCTTGTGGCCTCTGCCCCGCATCTCCATGCGGCATCTGCTCAGCATGGACCATTTATTTGCCGTGACCGCCCCGTCCTGCTTGGCTCTCGCAGCCATAGCAATCACGCAGCCCCTCTCTCCTTCCCCCTTGAGGCTCCTCCCGGCACCCTTGTCCCCCTTTTTCCCCTGTCTGTTACTGCTGCCCACGGGTGCTATTGCTGATGCTGCTGAAATGTTGATCGTCATGTGCACTTGTCGACTGTGCATGCCGCAGGCTTGCTTCCATGGGCAAGTAGCAGTAAGGACGCGACCATGTCGTGCCTCGGCCCCACAGCATTGTACCTGCGGCAGTTGCTGCTGAGTTGTGTGGTGTGGCTGTGGGCGTAAGGGCCGGTATTGTAGATAATTGCTTGGCGAATACCGATATTACGACGGAGTCTTCTTCCCCACTTACGCGTTAGAAAAGGTGGAATGTAGCAGTGCGGGGTCGTCTTCTCTATGGTTGTGGAGGAAATCTACTCAAGAGAGGAAATGCACGGCATTGCATGTGTTGGAGGCAACTGTCTTAACATGAGAAAATTGCATGGGAGGTTGAGAGCAATGTCGTGCTTCAGCAGACGTGCTCGGTTGTTGTACGACACGTACCGGTACTACCGGTATCCGCAAAGACTTGCAAGGGGAGTCCGCTGGAGACAACGCATAGTTAAAGGTTAAGAGGTATTGTAACAGCGCTTTGGTTCTATCAGCCGTGGAGAAGGGCAGCGTTTGAGGCCTGTTGAAAGAACTGCATGGATGGAATCGGTCATTTACGGACCTGGACCTAACCAACCTAAAGGACTCCCATGACGTCCCCCAACCTGGGTGGTAATGCATGGCGAACTTGGGGGGCTACCCAAGTCACCCTAGCCCTGCCGGGAGCCCCCTCTTTAGAACCATGGAGGAATCTGGCATCGCGGGATCAGCATCCCTACGGCCGTTTTGGAGGGAGGGTTAAGTATGGGTTACGAAATTCAGTGGCTGGTCCTCGGCGCTGTGCATTCAGGAAGGCGTCCTACCCCATCCAAAGTCCTACCAAGGGAAACCGATTACAAGAAAGGCCCCAAAAGACAGGGGTGAGCGGGTGTAGGAGATTTAAAGCTGAAGTTGCTGCTCACTCACTTGGGCACGGGAGGGAAAAATAATAAGTACCATGCTTGGAGAGATAAGGGGCTCTTCACACTAGGATTTTGAGTATTTTATCCGGTTTCGGCCTCAGATTTCAGGAAATTTGCGCATAAAGTGAGTCTTTTACACATTTGCCATCTAATCAACAAATTGCAAGCACGAGATTGAGTGTGAGAAAGAAGGAATGCAGCAGGTGCTGCTTCAGCAGCCGCGTGAGCAGGGGTCCGTCAGCGCGGGCAAAGTGCCTCGTCCCTCAATGTCATGGTCCCCATCCTCACTTGGCTGGTAGCTTTTATCATTGCCAACATATTTTCTTCACTGGGGTTCAGGTCGCCTTAGTTTGGGTCACCGCCATATATGAAAGGCCGCTCACGAGGGCGCGGCGAACCGCCCAATGCATACAGTCTCAACGAGAATGTGAGATGTATGCTCTCGTGTACTTGTCGAGGATGTATAACGTGACAAATTTGTTTGGGTCGTTAAACAGCGTTCCGAGTCGAGTACTTCACTCTATTGCACGTATTCCGGATTCTGCTTCGGTTTCCTTTCTCCGAAAGTAGAGAAAGTGAGGCGAATACTAAATTGCCGTCGGAAAATTCAATGTGGATAACCCGCCTCGCACTGGCGGCACAGGGAGCTGCGGCACAGGAAAGTGTAACCACCTAAGGCGTAAACGAATACAGTAATACTTTCGATTACAGCCTAACTTATTTCCCCAAGGGGCCCTTCACATTGAGGCGGAAATAGGTGAGGCTGTAATCTAAAGTGAATAACGTATTCGTAGGCACCGCGCCGTACTCCATCGTCGCGGCCGGCCCTAGCCGACCACAAGCCCTGCTTCATGTACTTTAAATAGTCTCACGCATGCTGCTCCTGCTACCCATTGCAGCATGTCTGCTCAAACCATGGCGACAAGACGACGGCGGAGGGTAGACGGCCAAGGATGCGCCAGAAGGTAAGTTTCAGACCCGGGTGCATGCCAGGACGTGCTTGTCATGCTGGTTGTAATTGTCGTAATCGTCATGAATGTCGGACCGTCGTAATGCCGTATTGTCGACAGTCGAATTTGACGCCCACCTTGCATTTACGCCTCGTGTATAAATGTTGGCGTGCAATGTACAGCGATAGTCGTTACCAACCTTACTAAGTGCAACTCTGAACACCCTTCGGCCTAGCAGACATACGACTGCTGCAGCGCGCACACAAGTGTGAAGGGAACGATTACAGCTCCCGCATAAGCAGTAATCACAAATGAGCTCAGCCGTTGTCCATATCGGATCCGTCGAAGAGTGGGAGGCAGCCATTGAGGAGTCCCGGGGCGGAAAGAAGCTCCTCGTATTCTTCACGGCACAGTGGTAAGGCTTCGAATGGTATCAGTAACGTGGACTCGGTAGTGTCCACATGACTGCAATGCGTCTTGCCGGTGTTGCCGAAGGTGCGGGCCTTGCAAGATGATGGCCCCTACCTTTGAAAAATTCAGCGAGGCATACGAAACTGTTAAGTTCCTGAAGGTGGATTTGGACGAGGTTCAGGTGCGTTGGTTGCCAAGGATGTTGCGCCACTCACTGTTTTGTGTACTTAACCTTACCTGGTTTCCTCATAACCCACCTATCCTATCATCCTCCATCATCGCAGGAGGTGCCATCCAAGTGTGGTGTGCGCTCCGTGCCAACCTTCATCGGCTTTGTCAACGGAAAGCCGGCAAGTCAACGAATCTTGCCGAATTGTTCATTAATGTGTCGTACCTCGCCAGCACTTACGCATTACCGGTACAGTTATTAGTAATGTATTCAGGCTGCCGTGCATGCCGTACAATGACGGCACAGACAGTTCTCCAACTGCGACCAACCGCCTCCCCTGCTGTTGTCCCTGATGCCCGCCGCAGTCGGGCCACGTTACAGAACCAAACCCGAACAAGCTGCTGAAGTTTGTGGAGTCGTAAGTGCAGACACTTATCGGGCAAGGAACCTGCGACATTGTCTTTTGGGGCTGCATGCGGATATGGGTGATAGGAATTACTACCCTTTCTGTCTTGGATCGCGATTTGCTGCCGGCCCTTGCTACGGCTGTAGCCACGGGAAGACAGACGCCTTGGGTTGCGGCTTCGGCTCTGAGGCTGTCTTGTGGCCTCCAAAGGGCTCCTCTATGTAGCATCTCTCCCTGCATCACTGGCCCAACTATCTATCCTGACAAATTTGCAATTACAGCAGGCCATGCCACGGCTGCAACTGCTGCTGCTGTTATAGATGATTATGAGATAAATGCTCCCTTTACCGACTGTGCACATGCCGCAGGCTTGCTAGCTAGGGTAACGCTGCTCAGTAAGGACGTGGGCACGTGGCTATGTTGCACCTCGTCCCCATGGCACTGTACCTGCTTTAGCTGCTTCCGAACCGTGTGGTGCGGCTATTTACGTAGTGGCTGGTTGCCCGAAGGTTGGCGGGCACTATCGCGATGCCCGTGTCAAGGCGGATGGAGTCTTCTTCAACACCATGTGGGTCGTGAGGAATACAATTTTGTAGGAAACCCGCCAGAGAGGGGATATTCATGACAAAGCATGCGTTGAACGCAACCGTCTCAACAACGTTTAAGATGCCTTGTCATGAGAAGTGTGTATGTATGTATGTGTTACAAGCTTCGTACCGAGCTCGTAAGATCCGTCCGAGCCAGAAGGCTCATGGATCGCGAGCACAAAACGCGAAAACAACCAAAAGAAGAAAAAGCAAACAAAAGAGACAACAAACAGAACGCTAATCATATGATAAACCCTGTCTGCGCAATCCTGCGACTTCGCATGCTAGTGATTACACTAGCAAGCAATGCCTGATTCTCCATGCCCATGACAGCAATCATATCAGCATCCCGTGAGACACCACTTTCCCATATCTTGTCACGCAAATCATCGTAAGCGGGACATTCAATGAGGAGTCGGTGATGCGGAGGTGCTGGGCTACTGTACGGCGCGTACCGGTACGGCTTGGTTGCCTGAAAAATCTTGCAGGAGGAGTCAGCTGACATTGTGCACTGCTAAGTTATTTGTAACTTTTCGGCTCCTTGGTTCTACCTGTTCGTGCTGTCAACGCGTGCTACCAGCCGAACCGTCGCGGAATACAGACGGTTTACATCGGGCAAAGAGTCATTGTTACTGATAGTTGCTAAGAATAGCTTGGTTTAAGAACAGTGAGCACAATGAGCCGTGTCATCCATGTCGGATCTGTGGATGAGTGGCGGGCAGCGCTGACCGAGTCTCGCCCTTTTTGGCGGAAAGTCTATGATTGTGGACTTTTACAGCGTCATGGTGAGGGTATAAGGCAGCGACGACAGGAAGTGAAGTCCTGCTTGTGGTGTAATGTGCCTTGCTGGTGTTGCCGAAGGTGCGGGCCTTGCAAGATGATGGCCCCTATCTTCGAGAAACTGAGCGCGGAGTTCACGACCGTAAAGTCCTTGAAGGCGGACGTGGATGAGTTTCAGGTGCGGCTTGGCTGTAGGTAGCTAGCATGCTATCAGGTACATTTTGCACGAACAACTGAATATGTCGGTAGCAGCTCGCTATCATGCTCCTACGATTTGGCTATCGTGATATGGTTGGAAACGCTGCAGATGCACGGTCATGCCACATCGTCCGGCTCCCACTGCCGCCCCCTCCTGTGTTGCTTCATGTCGTGTCACGCTATCGTTGTCCGTTTTCGCTGTCCTTGTTGACTCATCCTGTCATCTGTCGTGCAGAAGGTAGCAGCCGAGTGCGGTGTGCGCGTCATGCCCACCTTCATCGGATTCTACAACGGAGAGCAGGTACGTTGTTGTTCCTTGCCGTACATAGTGAGATATCGTACCCCGTTCAGCAAGGAATTTTTGCAAGGACGTTTGGAATCCTTCACGCACCAAAAGCCCTCCTTCCCCGGAGCCTCTGGCTTGACATATGACGATACACAAAGTAAACGGACGCCTGAGGTCGATCTTACGGCGCCTTCCCTCCTCCGATGTCCCCCTCCTTCTCTGCAGGTTGAGACGGTGGTGGGAGCTGACCAGGCCCAGCTGCGGGCGCTGCTAACCACGTAAGTACCGTACGGCAACCGTGACGAGCTGCGGTGTCGGTTCAGCAGTCTAGGGGCCTGCGCGCGTGGGGTTCAACCCCGGTATCCTTGCTTAGTTGGTTGTGCTTCCTGCTAAACTGCTAGAAGGTTCCTACCGGGAAAAGGCTCTGCTGCTGCATCCATGGCCTGGGTCCTGCTAGCGCCGTCTCCTGCGTCGACCTCTTTCCTGAAATGGCTTCCTGGGGAGTTGTCAGCACCGCCATGCATGCTGCGAGCAATGCCCTCGTCACTTGCCTTGCACTCCTCTCTCTCCTTTGGGACCCATGCAGCCTGTCTAAGGGACCCATGCAGCCTGTCTAACAGGTGACCGCATAACCTCATGGCGCCTGTTGCTACCAATGCGCTAACCACGCCCTCTCCCCTTCAATCATTCCCCCGCCCCTGTCTCGCTCCCCCTGTGTGCACCCTCGGCAACTACCCTCCGTGCACCGGCTTACTTGTCGACCCTCGCACTTACCTGGTGGAAACCGCAGTCTTGCCAGCAAGGGCGGTGCGGGTGCGGGCCAGAAGCTGGGCGGCGGTGCGGCCAGCACGGCCCTGCAGACGACAGCCCGGAAGCTCGGCGGGCCCGCATGCTGGCGGCATTGACGCGCGCAGCAAGGGCGGGCAATAGCTGCATGCAGGCGCGTAGCAAGGGGGAGCAGTAGCCGCATATGGGCACGTACGCAGCAAGGGCGGACAGTAGCTGTATGCATGTGATGCCGCACGAGAGTGGCGGGCAGCAGTGGGCCGTGCATGTGACAAGCCGGCAATGGGCATTCAATTGGGGCAGGTGCTGATGCGAGGCAAGGGCGGTGCTGGCAGTAGACGTGTGCGCTGGACGCATGAGGGTCCACAAGGGTTGGCAATTAGGCATCTGCCAGCGTGTCAGGTGCTGGCTGAAGACACGTGCATGGGCATGCAGCAAGGGAGGGAAATGGGATATATAGACGCATGGCGGCAGCGCCTCGGTTTGCTGTTTCAGCGGTGGAGGACGAGCTGCCCTAGCTGCTCGTGTAAAGTTGTAACCATACTCTGGAGGGAAGTTCATACATGGATGGAAGTCGATGCTCCCTCCGCTGCTGCTGTGTGACAAGGAGCTCTGGGACTAATAGGGTCGGGATGCTCGGCTTTAGGTCGCCGCTGCATGCAGGAACTGGAGCATTGGGTGTGGCTGGCTGTGAAGGGACTGTTACGTAATTGTTTTGGCGGGAAAATGTACGTAACTACATCTAGTCATGTACACGTATGGTATGTGGTGAGTGTGATTAGGCGGGATACAAGTGCGGTGGCTTATGCGGTGGTGTTGTTAAGAGAGGTTGCCCGTCTTGACGACAAAAGGATGGGGGATGGCTGGGATGGCCGGAAACCTGGATGAAAAGATTCAAGTTGTAAAGCTGCCCTTGCATGACTAAAGAGTGCGGCTTGTGAGAAAGAGGAGTTTGTGAGGTAAGAAATGTTCATGTGACTCAACAAAATCCGAAAAATGTACAGCATCCAATCCAGTTATTGGATTGGATTGAGTAGTGTATAAAGCGAGGAAATCATTGCATGCGATTGATTGGTTCACTCACTCTGCTCTCCTACACACGCACAAAACTGGTCCGCAACACCCAACACCAAAAATGACCGAGCAGCAGCACAGGTGTATGGATAGGTCGAGGCCCAACCTCAACACAACACAACCGCGGTGAAATACTTTAAATGAGACCCTCTTCTCACAAACTACACAACAACATGACAACCGCTGAATCTTCACATGCCCGGAGGAGGGCTCATACGACACCGTTGGCAGGTACAACAATCGCCGTACGGTCACAATGGGGCCTCAAACGGCCACCGCAACTGGTCACCATAACACGGTGCCAGCCGCATACATGCCACCCTTTACCCTGTCATAATACCCTCGTTTGGGATGATGGTACACCTCCTGTTCTCTTCTCCATGTTATAAGCAACGCACACCACTCTTCTGGTACTGTGCTTCCGCGCCTGTCGGCTTGGGGACGAATAATAGCCCGCCAAAGACGCGGGAGAATATATGAGTTGCTGCTACGGTCACCAGCTATAGCACGACCACCCTCGCATGCAATGCAAACATCCGCTGCATTGCTGGGAGCACCGCCATATGCAAGGATCAGGAACGCCTGCGGCCACCACCATTATTTGGTCTTTGCCATACATGCAAATCCCAAAAGAAGCCGTTGTGCGTTCCCTGACCACCTCACCCGCACCCCTTCCTCTACACCCAACGCGCTCTCCCTGAGCACGCAACCCCGCCTGCCCACGCCTCTCTTCTGCTGCTAACCATCCCATGCAGAAACGCAACGCTGCTGAGACCTCTCCGCCCCTCTTGCTTCATTCTCCGTGCGCCATTCTTCTCCTTTCTTCTTCCTCCTGCTCTTCCTCCTCACGGTTACGCAGGCACGTCAGCACCTAGTCCCCTCGCCCAGGTGCCGCCACCACCTCCTCCTCACCACCACCAGCTTACACCGGCACGATGTCCTTCTTGACGATCCGCTCGTACACCTCGCGCACCTTCAAGCCCACGATGGTTTGAAACAGCCCCGTGCCGTTGTTGCTGCCCGGGAAGCCGCTGTTCTTGAGCATTTGCTGCGTGATCTCACCGTAGAACTTGGCGCTGGTGTTGCTCAGGTGGCTCTCCACGTAGATCAGCTCCTCCAGCTTGTCAAACTGGCCGTCCATCTCAAGCACGCTCACCTCCTGGCCGTACCAGGTGTCGGGGCCGTAGTACATCTTGATGCCTGCGTGTACGGCAGGTGGTTGGGTGAGTTGGTTGGTGGGTACAGAAGTGCACGTTAGGCCCTCATGTTGCTATATCGCATCGACTTGCGTAGGTCACATTCCCCAAAACGACGGGCATCGCCTCTCCAGGCCAAGCCCCTGCTGCCACCCATCCACGCCATTCCACCACAACCGTCCTCTCCCCGCCCGTCCTCCTCCTCTGCTCCCTCTTAACGCACCCGGGAAGGAGCAGGTGAGCTTGCGGCCGCAGGGGATCCAGCTGATGGTGGAGCCCTCGTCGAAGAGGTAGACGGGGTCGAACATCTTGCTGCCCTCCTTCTGGATCAGCCGCACGCGCAGGTACTCGCCCTTGTCGTCGGGGACCAGCTGCGTGGGCAGCACCTGCGGGGGAGAGCGGAGGAGAAGGGATAAAGGAAGGAGGTTGGGAATCCCACGTTTGGTTGGAGAAGCGGGGAGGTAAGGAAGAAGAGAACGGAGTAGGTAGTCCGGCGGGAGGCAGAAGTCACTGGATTTCGGGTATGGAGCTGTTGTGTACGACACGTACGACACGCAGGTCACGTACAGCAGTCGTCCACCCGCACCCTACTAGTGCACCGCACAACACCACGGTTTCGCGCTCAGCTGGATCTACTCACCCCCCAATCTGCCAACTTCTATCCACATTGCTTTGTCCTAACCTGTGGTTTCCTATGGTGTGGTACGGTCTTTACCCCCCCCCCCCAACCCACCTGAATGACCATGTCGGCAGCCTGCTTCTGGGGGTCGATGTAGGCATCGAAGTCGGGCTTGCGCGCCGCGATGGACGCCTTGATGGACTCCAGGCTGTGGCCGCGCTCCGCCATGTCACGCTGGATCTTCCAGGCGAACTTGATGTCGTCGCTGATGTCCAGATAGATCTTGAAGTCAAGCAGCGAGGCGACCCGCTGGTCGTAGAAGGGGTGCAGGCCCTCAATCACCAGGATCTGGGAGGGGAGGGGAGAGGGAGAGGGAAGGGGACGTGGAGAGTGAGGAAAATGGGTGTGTAGTTTGGCGTGCAACCGTCCAACAAAGCAGCGGGCCAAATACCGGCTCATGGTTTCTTCTGCAGGCTGTGTACATGGCACATCACGCTGTACCGCAACGGTTTCAGCCGCTTACGTTGGGGGCGTCGATCGTCTCCGGCGCGTCGATCAGGCCGGTCACGTGGTTGTAGATGGGCTTGTCCACGGGCTTGCCCTCCTTGAGCGCCTTGACCTGGTTGTACATCAGGTCAAAGTTCTGCGCCTCGGGAGCCAGCGCAGTGACGCCCTTGACCTTGCGTCCGTTGCGGTCGAGGCAGTGATAGTCATCCAGGCAGATGACAGTGGTCATGTCGCTGATGAGGGTGTTGGAGTCGGGGTTGCCGCCTGCAAGCAGCAGAGGTGGACATGCAGGGTGTTAAAGAGAGGGGCTGAGGTGCAGGCGGGTGGGATGTGGATGGTGGACATGGGCAGAGCTGGTGTTGGCGGCAGGTACTGATGGAGCTTAGTAGGAAGATGTTGTAATATTACCGTTTAAGTTATGATGGCCGAAGCGGTTGCATTTTAGTTCGCAAACAATATGCTTGCAGTGGCATCCATAACTGCCGCCACAAGGTCTGGTGGCAGCGCGCATAATCCTACCATGTTTAATAATCATTTCGGGTCATGAAAAGTGCGCCAGAAGAAGGGGAGCGCGCAAGCGCTGGCATTGCGCGGGCTCGTGGGTCGCAACCTACCCGCAGGAGGCTTGGGAACACCGCCGAAAATGCTTGTCATGCGACGCATGAACGTCGACTTGCCGCATCCTGCAAGAGCGCCAATAACAGCTGTCAGCGTCGGCTCGGCAAGCGGCCCAACTACATACGCAGGCCGGCGCTAGGCCGGTAAAGCTCCCAGGACGCACCAGAATCCGCAGCAAGGCCGATAACAACAGTCTTATCCTTTTGAGCCTTGACCACCAGAGCGCGACGGCTTGCCTGGCCATAAGCAAAGAAGGGCAGTGTCAGCGAGCGAAGTCGCGCAAGCAACAAACTTCTTTTTGCAACTTTCTTCCACCCCTGGCATGTATTTGACCAAAGGCATCAGCGCTTTGTAATATGCGCCAGCAATGAGGAAGCACGCCCAATCTCCTTGATAAAGCCCACATCCTCACCCGGTTGGCGGTCACGCGGCTCTGGGCCGTAGCCCTGCAAGTAACATGAGCAACCACGTTGGTAAGTAAATCTGCCTAAAGATATTCGGGGCCATTGGAAAGGGAGCGACGGTGGGGGTGCGTATGATCTGCTCCACCATTCGGCCATGCGCAAAGCAGAGCGCAGCAAGTTGTGTACCTGGGAGCAGGGGCGCGCATTGTAAAGGCCATGGTTCCTTCCTATTGGCTCTACCCTAGAAGCAAATTGAGCGCTTATACAGAGTTGATATCCTCGTCTTATCCTCTGGCCGAGCGACTGGGCTTATCCGTACGGCATCACGACATCTACGCTTCACCATAGCAAATGACAGTGCATTAGGTAGAATTGGCTCCGCTTGCATGCGTGTTTCGAAATGAAAGTATACAGACAGGTGAAAGCTGTCGCTTTTGTGGTTGTCGCACGTGTACCTCTGAGCCCCTACCTCTCTATCCTTGTTCCATGCGGTATTACGTTTATGTGCTTATACGGATCAGTGTGAAACATCGCACGACGCATAGGCGAGCCCGCGTCGATGAAGACCCGCATGGATGCTAGCTGGCTTAAGCCAGGAGGTCGCTGGTTAACTTCGCGAGCCCTGACGTGCGCAGCGTTCCTAATTAGCCTAACTGCTTCGTATATGTCACGGCCTTCGTCTGGCCTTCGGCTGTGCCTGTGGGCCTTAGGTTACCCCTTGACGCTTGCGCTATCTCCTCATTGAGTGCATTGTGATTCTGCATGCTGCATAGCAATACACAGTAATATTGAATTCACATATGAAGCTTTAAATTCGTGTCATGATGATTGCCGGGTCACGTCGAGGGTGCTTACCATACGGCAAGCCGTGCCTGGGGTGTGACGGGTTGCCGTAGGAACGTAGGCATGACGCATGGGCGTCTAGCACCGGTATGCTGCGACTTCCCATAACCACGTCACACCTGAGCAGAATGAACGTCCTATGGCAAAGGGTACGCAAGGGTGTCATGAAAGCCCTGGCCTACATACACTGCAGGAGCTGCTACGTGCAAAGGAACAGGCTCAACGTTCGGCCGGAGGGTGGAGGACTACCTGCTGAGGAGAGCCGCATTGCTACGCCGAAAAATATCAACAACGAACGCAAGATGGAGCGAACGTCAAGGAGCCTGGTCCATATGCCTACCTACCGGTATTGCCTTAATTAGGATACCCACGTAGGTATACCGGTAAAGTGAAGGGGGCTGCCGTGGCTTTTGAAAAACAGTTGCACTGCAAGCGAGAGGCATGCAAAACGTGGAAGGAAGTCATTGGAGCAAACAATTTTGCTGCAGATGTCACCGCCAGCTGCCCCCGCAGACCTAATGATACCGGTACTACAGGCAAACGTTGCAGGACCAGCAGGCCAGCTGAAGTACTGAAGTCGCCAGCAAACAAAACCACCAACAATCCAGCGGCAAGAGTACACTCGGCGTTCCTTAGCCCTGGCGCACAGAAGCACGTACCACTGCCCTGGCGCATAGAAGCAAGCACGTACAAACCCTACCCTTCCCCCGGCCGCTTCGCTCCCTCTTGCCACCCATGCCCTAGGCTGTCGTGTCCTTAACATTCGATCAAGGTAGGGGCCGGTGCCCATTGCACCCCTCGCCTGTGGGTACTCGTGTTGATTGGGCATCCCTTGAATTCCTATTAACATTGTTGCCAGGAATACCAGCAGTGGCCGCTTACCGGTAGCCAAGATTGCACTCTTACGACCCACGGGTCAACTGTACAGGACGGTTAGTGGACATTAGCGGAAAACAGGTTATTTGCCGGGTCCTTACAGTTACAACTGATTGACGAGACGACAACATCGGGATTTACGCATCGCAGCAGGAACCATAATGTGCGTCTCATCCTGCCTCACATGCCTCTGTCATCTGCAGCCCTCCCGCATTGTAAGCTCGGATCCGTTTCGTATCATTAGTCATCAACCGCTAAAAATTTAACCAAGGCAGGCCAACGTGCCACAGATTCTTATTGTGGTTATTAGTGATATGGCGACGGCAAATAGGTAACAGCAATTAGTAAACGTCGCTAGTCAAAAAACAACAAGCAGCTTTACAACGCACCCCAATGATGCTACATTCTCCTCCGCGCGCAATTCAATGCTCAGTATGGATATGACAGCACTAGCACCACACGGCTGGTACGATGCATTGCATGCGGAATGCCGTACGATGCGCATGATGCGTACGATTCATTATAACATGCTAAAATGTCGAGCAAACAAGTTGGTTTGCAACACATTGAAAACACAATCCGATACCGCAAACAATACCTCATGCAGAGGAATGCGTTGTGTGCACCCAAAGTGTGAGTGTCCTAGGTAATGCAACGACTGCGGCATGGGCACATCAAGTTTGGCTCTTGGTTTCTGCAAGCTGCAGTCCAACAGCCGCAATATGCGGCAGGTCCGCTTTGTTGGAAACCACCGTCTCGGTGACATTGATCCGCACGCCGAGAACACGGACCTTGTAGAGATTTGCCGCCGAAGCTGCTGGAACCATGGTCGCTGCCGAAACAGCGAAGCGGTTGGGACCGGGGCACGCCAACCGCTGTCCCTTGGCCCCCTTGTAGATCGTCGCCCACGAAACGGCGCCCTAGTAAGAGAAGTGGGAATAGCGTGCAAAGAAAGGTTAACTGCTGGGATCACGCTGCAGAGGAGCCGCAGCACACGGGTGTGTGCGGCTGGCCTTCGTAGGCTGGGCGCCGTAACCGCCACATACAGGGCACGAAAGCAACCCTTGCCTAGGTGACGCAAACACTCTGGTTTGCCCCTGCGAGCAGCTTTTTGCAGTCGGCAGCCTGTTACCTCAATTGGGCTCTTCAACAAGTCTCCCTGTCGCTTGGTTATTGGGTTCCAGAGAACCCAGCTCGGTGCGTGGGTGTAAAGGTCAAAGAAGCAGGTGACAGAGCTCATTGATTGCTGTTGGTCCCCCCCTGCCTAAGTGCTAATAATAACCGCTACTTTACGCCCCGTCCTAAGCGGCTCGTTACGCTTGCATGAACGGCCACTGCATGCCCACCTGGTTGATGGGGTCTTGCAGCAACAGCTCAAGGGATGCGATGGCGGGGTCGAGTTTGCCGTCATTGAGGACGTACAGCACCACATTCGAAACCTGACTGCCCATGACCGCCGCCTGGCTCTGGTTAAAATAGGCAACGGCGTAGCGAGGAGCCTGCATGGCAGAGAACGCAGGGACGGCGGCAGTATAGCATTTCGCAATTGGGTTGGCGAGCATCGACCGCAGTATTGCGGCCTTCGCACTGCTGGCCCACGGGCCCACGGCCAAGCTGCACGTTGTTCATACTTGAACCTAAAACGCACGTCGCCATGCAAGCCATGCTTCTGTCATGGTAGAGCAAATAGTGACACAGACACGCGATCCAAATGTACGAAATGTGCATATGACGGGTGCTGCCCCAGTTGCTCATCTGCTTGCGAGCTCCCTTGCTTACGTCCCATCCAACACACATGCATGCATACTCCTCACCGTCTTCGTTGGCACCCAGCTTTCAACGAAAGAGGCCTTGCAGGTCTTGGCATTCAGGGCTTTGGCGCTTGGACTCCCCACCAGTAGCTTCACGGAGCCCGGCTGAGAGCTGGTTCCGGAGGGGTCCTGTACGACAGCAGGTGCAGCAAGTACGGCGGCGACAACCAGTAGTGTTGTATGGCAAGGTCCGTTGGTAGTATATGGAGCATGCAAGAGCCAAAGCGTGCGAGTATGTGGCTATTATGGAAGCATCTAAGCATCAGAGACGACAGAGAGAAAGCCGCGCCTCTTCCTTACTTATAACGCACGGACGATAATCAGCGAGCTTTGGATGCGAATTCTATTTAGATCTAAATCAACCGCTGTGCGAGACATCAATACGCACGCTGCAGAGATGTGGTATGCGTAAGAAGCTTTTCGGGGGAGAGAGCGTCCGAAAGGGCATCAGCAGGGGCTAGGAATGAATGCACGGCTGCATACATGGCCCGTTGCAGCAAGTCATTGATTTTGTCCTGCCCAGTGCCTGCATACATGCCGTGCTTACGTTGTAGCTTGAAGCGGATGTGGCCCACAGCACCACCGGAGGTGGCGGCGGTGACGGCGTCCTAGGTGGAGGCGAAGGCTTAGCAGGCGGTGGTGGTGGGGACTTGGGTCGGGGTGGAACTTGTGTAGGTGGGGGCGATGAGTGCGGGGATGGGCTAGGAGGCGGTGGCAGCGGTCGGGTTGGGGGCGAGGACGGAGGCGATTGGCGGGGAGGTGGTGGGGACGGCTGCGATGGAGGCGGGGTTGGAGGCGGCGGGGATGGGGCTAGGGGAGACGGCGATGTAGGGGGGCGTGATGGAGGTGGCGGTGGCTGGGGTGTTGGCGGTGGTGGAGATTGTACCACCGGGGAGGAAGGAGGTGTTGGGCTCGGCAAAGGAGTCCCCGGGGGCGGTGGAGGCAGCGGGCTAGGTGGAACCGGATTATTGGGAGGTGAAGGTGCTGATTGCATGGGTGGTGACGGATAGGTGCGTGGAGGTGGAGGCGGGGGAGGTGGCGAAGGCGACGGAGGGGGAGGCGAGGGAGGAAGGGGTGGAGGGGAAGGCGGAACCGGTGGCTCTGGCGGCTGTGGTGATGGCGGGAGAGGGGCGGGCGAGGGAGGAGCTGCATGCATGGAGGAACACACAGCGAGGGTTGAGTGTTAAGGGCTAACCAACAACTGGCACAAGGCACACACATTCCCTATATAGCATGCATGTCCGACAACCAGCAGGATGAGAAGCAAGGCGCACGTATGGCAGGATGGCTCGCTATCTAGAACAAAACATATTATTTATAGCAGCTCCTTAGCAACACGGGGGTAAACGGAAGACGTAGACTTACAGGGCGGATGGGGTGCCGGGCTCGGAGGGCTTGGTGGTGGCAGGGGAGGAGGAGATGGCGGCGGGGATGGAGTGAGTGGAGGGGAAGGCGGCGCCGGCGATGGAGGAGCTGCATGCACGCAAACACGCAGCGGGGTAAACGTGCGATAAGAACGTCTTCGAAGAGCCTGGAGGCATACATCCCGCTGCATGTCTGGCAACCAGCAGGACGAGACGGACCCCAATACCATTGCACTTTCACCCATGGCATTATGACGTACATGTACAGTACGCTAGCGCACACAACAGGATGCGGACAGCAGCTTACTTACGTGGGATGTATGTGTAGTAGCAGGACCCAGGGCTTGCGAAGTTGGGTG